TAAGCATGCAATTCCATGAATTTCCACAAAGTGAATGCATCCTGTACTCAGCTCCTAGAATGCCTATCCCCGAACAAAAAGGCAGAGAAAGGGCCAGACCCCTGCTTGCATGAAGTGGGGCCTCAGAGGACTGGCTCCTCTGTGATATGAGACCTAGAAAATTGGCCAACGAAGGTCCAGGAAGCCTGCCATCTGTCCAGGGCTCTGCATAGGGCATGAAAGCTTCCTGGAAGGAGTCAACTCCCCTGGTTCTTACACACCTGTAAGGAAGGACAACCAAGCTGATAAAAGAACACCAACCCCATATATGACTGGTGGGATCCCTGGATCCAGGCAGAGGCCAACCAGAAAGGCTCTTAGGGATCCTTCTACCACCCAGGGAGCAGAAAACTCTGGAAAAAAACACTCTTTGCCCAGTATGAGCTTAAAAAAAAAAAAATACCCACAGGAGAAAATGAACGAACCCATAGGAGAAAATGAACACATTTGGTCATGCAATGTCTTAACATTGGCTCAGGAGCTGCGGTTTCTTTTCCTCACGACACAGTGAACCTCTGAAGCGTAAGCCTGGATCACTCTGCTAGAGGGAGATCACCCCATAGGACAATCTTTCATCACCTACAAAGTCCTGCATCAGTTGGCCCAAGTTTCTTGCTACTCGCCCCACACACTCTGCTCAAGACCCATGGGTCTCCTTACTGTTCCTCAAAGGCCTTGTTGGGAATCGTGTCCCCTAAAAAGATATGTTGAAATCTTCACCTCTGCTCCTTGCAAATGTGGCCTTATTTGGAAATAGGGTCTCTGAGGATGTAATTAAGTTGAGGTCAATAAGGTAGGACCTTAGTCCCACATGACTGGTGTCCTTGAAAAGGGGAAAGCGGTTCCCCTTTCCCCTTTGATACACAAAGTCATGTGATGACAGATGCAGAGATCAGCGATGCAGCTTCGAACCAAGGAACACCCAGGATTGCTGGCTCAGATGCCACCTGTGCACAGAGGCCATGTCTGATTGCACAACTGAAACCAGCAGGTCCTGCCTCTCGCCACTCCTTTGGCTCTTTTATTTTTCCTCATGCTCCCTAGTCCTACCCAACATTATATTGCATATCTCTGCAATATTGTCGTCTTCTTTGCCTTCAAAAACGTAAGTTCCCTGGAAGTGGAGACGAGGCAAGCTCCCCATGCCTACCTGTTTCATAAATGCATGAGCTCCTTGAGAGTACAGTTTACCCTTTGCTTTCCTAGCCTTCCTGTTGCCGGATACAACGCTCTGCTTATCGTGGACTCAGGAACTGTGTGTAGATCGGCTAATAACCCCATCATCACTCGCGGGCCTCGACTCTGCCTGGTGAAGCGTGGAAGTCAAAATGCACACCTGGATTTGGTGGCCTGGATTTGGCCTGGATTTGGTGGCCTCTTTGCTGTAAAACAATTGTGGGGACAATCGATCCGATTTCTCTGAGTGATCATTATAGCTCACCATTTGTCTGCCTCACACAGCCACTGTTTCCCTTGTGCTGCACAGCACTCCTCCTAGCCCTGTTGTTTCTCTGATTAGGAGACAGAATTGAGTAATCTAAATTTAGTGTGTGCAGCTCAGAGGTGCCAATCATGACAAATAATGAATTAGGTGATCCCCCTGCCCTTCCCCGAAGCATCGAGCTGAAACCAACAAGTTCATTTGCTTTAGGACCAAAGGCTGAACTCACAGTGTTGTCTGTGACAGGCGAGTGCTTTCTTCACTAATTAAGTCACCGGGCTTGGACAAACCCTCTCCGGCTGGTGGGGGTGCGGCTTATCGAGGTGGCCCAGAGACTCTGCCTTTGGCTTTCCGCTTGCTAATGGAAGTGGTCTATACCTTTGTTACAAACATGTAAGCCAGAAAATAGGCATTTATATATACACATATGCATACGCACACATATAAATCTCATATAATTTTATACATTTCTTTAGCCCTTTAAGGACTTTTCTGGTTTTCTTAGTAAACCCACATTTAGAATTCATAACTTCCGGGGCTCCTGGGTGGCATAGTCACTTAAGCGTCCACCTCTTGGCTTTGGCTCAGGTCCTGACCTCCGGGTTGTGAGATCGAGCCCCACATCAGGCTCCATGCTCAGCTTAGAGTCTGCTTGAGATTCTCTCTCCCTCTCTCTAAACTCACCCCCCACTCTGCTCACATGCATGCACATGCATGTGCTCTCTCTCTCTGAAATAAATACATAAATATTTATAATTCACCATTTCTGGGTTAAGAGCTGTGGGTTTTCTTTCTTTTTAAAGATTTTATTTATTTATGAGAGAGAGAGAGAGAGAGAGGCAGAGACACAGACAGAGGGGAGAAGCAGGCTCCATGCAGGGACCCCGATGTGGGACTCGATCCCGGGACCTCAGGATCACGCCCTAGGCTGAAGGTGGCACTAAACTGCTGAGCCACCTGGGCTGCCCAGAGCTGTGTTTTCTAGTTTTTAAAAGGACCTTTATAAAATACATTTTATCTGCTTTTATTTCATAAAAACATAAGCATTTACTTGTTGGAAAGCTATAATATTTGATGTTTGTAAGAAATAAGCCATAGATTAGAAATAATTTTTATGAGACACCTGGGTGGCTCAGCTGTTGAGCATCTGCCTTTGGCTCAGGGTGTGATCCCCGGGTCCTGAGATCAAGTCCCACATCGGGCTCCCTGCATGGAGCGTGATTCTCCCTCTGCCTGTGTCTCTGCCTCTCTCTCTGTGTCTCTCATGAATAAATAAATAAAATCTGTAAAAAAAAAAAAAAAGGAAAAATAATTTTTATGATGTTCTGTTTTTTTTATGATGTTCTGGAAAAATAATGAAAGTTAGTAAAAATGAAAATAAAAGATGTAAATACAGTATTTGAAACAGTGCTAATTAATTTTTTTTAAATGTTCTTAAGTTGACATATTTAATAAAGCATGTGTTGCTAGTTCCTCTCTGGTCAGATACCTGTCCCAGCTGTTGATTATGTGAGATTTTGGCACCTTTGTGCATTGCAACTAATCATCAGCATTTCTCTAGGAGGGGCAAGAAGAACCCTGTTATCTCCACCTAGCAGAAAGGGCACAGCCCTGGGGATGGAAGGGTGACTTATCCAGAGCCTTCCAGAGTAGCTGAGAAGAGCCCATGCATATCAGATATCTAACACCCTCAACCTTTCCTATACCTGTCTACACTTTGTCCAGCACAGCAGTTCAAAATGTGGAGGTGTTTTTTGTTTTTTGTTTTTTTCTTGTTTGTTTGTTTTTTTTTGTGCAGCTTGCTTAAAATAAATGGATTTAAGCTTTGGGTAGAGAAGTAGATTATAAAGATCACCTCTAAAGGGAAAATTGAATGTAATTTTCATCATGAGAGAAGAGAGTTAAAATATATAGGAAAGCAGTTGGTACTTGGAGCAAGTTTTACTGTTCATTTCTCAGGGAATGTCTCCTGCTTGGATCTGGAGATCATGTAGGTAATATGAAAGATAATCTATTTAATATGACATTTTACATTTGGCTCATGACCATAAGCTGGACCAACTTCAATAATAAACTAATTCAATCAGATACATAAATTTTATGCTACAGATAAGTGATTTTTAACTCAATCTAGATTCCAATATTCCTCAAAGCTTGTCCCCTTCCTTCCATCAGGCCTTTGTCCAGATGTCAGTGAGATCTCTGACCCATCAGTTTCAAATGGCACTAGCGTCCCTTCTCCCATCTCCCTCATGTTGCTTCCTTCTTTCTAATGCTCATCATCATCCAAAATAATACATATTCTGATTATTTTGTCTACCCCCATGTAGGCCCCTTTGTCTGCTTTGTCCACTACTGTCTTTCCAGGGCACACAGTAGGTGGTTAATACTTGCTCAATGGATGAATAATGCCTGAGACCTTCCTGTTCCAAGGTTGGTCTTGTACTCCAAGATGCACAGAGCAAGGGGGCAGGGTGGGCAGGTGGAGGTGTGGGAATGTAGGGATGGCTAGAAATGAGGTGCCCATTGCCCTCCAGGATTGGGGCCAGAGGGCTACCTTTGCAACGGGGCGCAGATATACCTGCAAAATTCACCACGCCATCCCTCCTAGAAACACATTTGCCAGACAGGCCTTCACTTTTCCTTAAGTTTCCTTCTTCTCATCTTAGCAATGTAATGTTTGTTTCCTGGTCCCACCTTGTCAAACTGTGCCATAGAGAGGGGTTTACAGAGCAATTGAAGAATATGAAAAAGAAAAAAAAAAAGAAGAAGAATATGTCATTCGTGACTGCCTCCTATAAAACAGTTCCTTTCCCTATTCGGAGAGCCAAGCATACAAAACTGGGTCGGCACAGTTTTTTGTTTTTTTTTTTAAGATTTATTTATTTATTTTATTTATGAATGACAGACATAGAGAGAGAGAGGCAGAGACACAGGAGGAAGGAGAAGCAGGCTCCATGCCGGGAGCCCGACGTGGGACTCGATCCCGGGACTCCAGGATCACACCTTGTGCCAAAGGCAGGCGCTAAACCGCTGAGCCACCCAGGGATCCCCCTGGCACAGTTTGTAACACGCAAAAGCAAAAGGGAGAATTGAGGCAAAAGCATCCTCGTAAGCTCAGTAAGTGTGGTGAAAAAATGTCCGGCAAGTCCTTTGCGGAGTGGTGGCTGCGGTGCTTGCCTTGGCTAGGTTGGGAGATGCAGCCGCGGCCTTGGTTCAGGGAGATCGGGGGCGGGGGGGGGGGCTCCGGTGCCGGGAACTGCAGGGAGCTGGGGCGCCGCAGCAGCGTGGTGCGGTGCGCGGGCCCCTCCGCCCCCCGGGGCGCTCTCCTGCGGGGCGTGTCTTTCTCTGGCCCCGCCCCCGAGGCCAAGGCCCCGCCCCGAGGCCAAGGCCCCGCCCCCGAGCCTAGGGCTCCGTCCCCGAGGCCAAGGCCCCGCCCCCGAGCCCAGGCCCCGCCCCTCGCCCCCGGCCCCGCCCCCGAGGCCGGCGAATGAGCAGGCGCGCGGCGCGGGCTCCGGGGGCGGCGACGCGAGGCCCGGCGGCGGCGGGTGGCGGTGCCAGCAGCTCGCGGCGTTGGCGGCCGACCCGGGTCGCGCGGCGGCGGGAGGAGCCCCGGGCCGAGGCCGCCCCGGGAGTGCTGTCAGGCGGCACCAACATGGCTGCGGGCCTGCGAGCTGCGGGCGCCTGGCTCCGCGAGCGGCGTAAGTGAGGCGGTGGCGGCCGCGCCCGCCGGGATCCCTGGACGAGGTGGCGCAGCGGGCAGCCCGTGCCCCCGCCGCCCCCCCCGCCGCCCCCCCGCCGTCGCCCCCGCGGTCCCCCCGGCCCCCCCGGCCCCCCGCCCCGCCGCGGCCTGGGGCTTCCGGGAGCGCCTCTGCGCGGCGGGGCAGGGGCGGGAGAGGGGCCGCGCGGGTCCCCGGGGCGCTCGGGCGCGGGGCGGCGGGGCGGCGGGGCGGCGGGGCGGCGGGGGCCTGGGCCGTGCCCGAGTTCCTCCGCGCCGCAGTCTTCCCCGCAGAGCCCGCGGGGTCGTCCGGCGCGGCCGGGAGCGCGGCGGGAGGGCAGGGGTGTCAGCAGGGGCGTCCGCACCCCCCGCCGAGGTCCGCAGCCCGGGCGCCCAGGCCCCGCCCACCTCGGGCCCTGCCTCGCCTGCCGCTGCCCGGCGGTCTGCGCGGCTGCCTTAGGGATTTTCGGAGAAGAAGGAAGATTCGCTGGCCGCCCAACGGGCTGGTTGTTTCATTGATTGATTGATGCACTGGATACCCAGCAGCCCTGCTTGCTGCTCTATTTAAAGGATCTTATTTATTTATTCATATAGACACAGAGAGAGGCAGAGACCCAGGCAGAGGGAGACGCAGGCTCCACGCAGGGAGCCCGACGTGGGACTCGATCCCGGGTCCCCAGCATCACACCCTGGACTGAAGGCGGCGCCAAACCGCTGAGCCACCCGGGCTGCCCTCTTTTATTTATTTGAGACACAGACAGAGACAGAGAGAGAGAGAGAGAGAGAAAGGGAGAAGCCGCCTCCCTGCTGGGCAAGGGAGCCCCCCGCCCTCCCCCACCCAGCGCGATCCCGCCCTGAGATCAGGACCTGAGCCACCCACCTGCCCCACCCATCCCGTGTCTGGTGCACATTTTGAGTGTAGGGTCTGTGCAGGATGAGCCGAGGAGAGTTTGCGGGAGAAATAACCTGGTTGAGGGCGGCCTGGGTGGCTCAGTTAGTTGAGCGTCTGCCCTGGCTGGGGTCGTTATCCCAGGGCGCTGGGGTCAAGCCCCCCATTGGGGGGAATCTGCTTCTCCCTCTGCCTCTGCCTGCCGCTCCCCCTGCTTATGCTCTCTGTCAAATAAATAATTAAAATCTTAAAAAAAAAAAAAAGAAAAGAAAAATACCTGGTTGGGACACTAGCTCTGCAGCATTTTTAACTGTGATCCCTTGAACAAGGCACTCACCTGCTTTGAGCTTTGGTAAAGGTAAAAGGAGAAAGGTTAATACTTCACAGGCTTGCCATGAAGGTTAGCTGGATACAGGTAAAGCACAGTGCCTGTCATCCAGGAGAAATATTGAGACCCTCAAAGTGTTTATTTTTATTATGTAGAAGGCTGAGGCATACCTAGATGCTTAATTAATGCATCTGAATGGTGACGGGACACAGATTTGGCTTTTTTTTTTTTTTTTTTAAGATTTTATGTATTCATGAGAGACCCTGAGAGAGGGGCAGAGACACAGGCAGAGGGAGAAGCAGGCTCCATTGCAGGGAGCCCTATGTAGGACTCGATCCCAGGACCCTGGGATCACAACATAACCCGAAGGCAGATGCTCTACCACTGAGCCACCCAGGCATCCCTTGACTTATTTTTCTAAGAAGTTCCTTAATTCATTATTCTGGCACCTACTGAGAGAATCCACTTTGAATTTCCATGTCTTATTGCAGGTGCCTATGGTTTTATTTTATTTACTATTATTTTATTTTATACAAAGGTGCCTTTGTGAGGAAAATAATAAGGACCCAGTTTATTTTTTTTAAAGATTTATTTTTTATTTTTTTAAAGTTTATTTATTTATTTATTCACGAGACAGAGAGAGGCAGAGACACAGGCAGAGGGAGAAGCAGACTTCATGCAGGAAGCCTGATGTGGGACTCGATCCCAGGACTCCGGGATCACACCCTGAGCCAAAGGCAGATGCTCAACCACTGAGCCACCCAGGCATCCCAGGACCCAGTTTATACCGCGGGTCAGATTACTGAGGGTTTTGGAAGCGAGAGGCATTATCTTCTAAGAAGACAAAGTGCCGTGCCAATAATGGGGCTGAAAGATTAATTGAATTAGTGTTTTCTTTCTTTGGCCTTTTCTTTCTGTGGCAAAGTCTGACAGGTTCTATATTTGAGGTCATAGAACAATTTGAGAAACTTTAAAAGAGTTGTTGTCCAGGTTATAAATAAGTAAGCAGAAGGATTCAGAAACCATAGCAAAAGTGGATTTGAAGTCCAGTTGAATTATGGACTCTGATTTTAAGATGTGGTTATAGTACTCTAATCATCTTATTGGGAAGAAGGAATTAACATCTGGGTTAAGAAAAATTGAGTAGTAGTTTTGGAAATGAATTCTGAGAGTAAAAGTGCAAAGTTTTACACTATATTTTTAGCATATTACAGAATCAATAAGAAGCTCCTTGGGGTGGGCCACATACTATGTATGCTACATATTTTTTTAAATTAGAAAATTGGTAGATCAATGAATTGTTTTTTTCTTTTTGCCTTTTCTTTCCAAATCTTCTACACTAAGCATATATCTCTTTCATAATTAGAAAAAATTTTCTGGAATAATAAAGAAGAGTATCCGTGTTTTAAATTAAGGACAATAGAACATCTTCGTGCCATGCCAGGAAATAATTATTTTTTTCAAGCCTCCTCTCTACAAGCGTTTACTAATAGTCACACTGTAGGATGTTATTTCTGTTAATTTTGAAAATGGTATGTATTTTTATAAGTACCTTTTGAAATAAGCCTCAGCTCTTATGTGATAGAAAAGGGCTCTGTTATGTATTTAAGTACTAGTGTGCCTTGCCTTATACCCTCCCTGCCCCACTTCTAAGCATCTAAAATATTAAATGATTTGGTTTTGGAGAAACAGTTGTTACCCATGCACTTAAGTTACAGATATACTTTTGAATGCTTTACCTTTTGAGTTTGTCCAGGAGTTACAAAGTTCTGCTTTCTTTACATTCTCTTCTGCATTCTCCTCGTTTTACCGCCTTTGTGGTTTGTAGGCCTTCCAAAGGTAGGCTAGAAGTTCATTTCATAGGTAGGACTAGAGTACGTGGTCTTGGGTCATAAGTGGGCAAGTCCCTGCTATTGAGTTTTCTTACGTCTTGTTTAACCACATGCAGTGTGCCAGGCATTGTTCTTGGGGCTGGACATAGATTTAAACATTTTTCCTAATCTTTACGACAGCCCTTAGGGTTGGCCTTGTCACCATTTTACAGATGAGAAAAGTGAGGCTTGGAGTAGTTCTTTGAGTTGCCCATGTATAGCCTGTTTGGTTGTATCCAGGATCTCCACTCGATCTCTCTGGCTCTGGAACATGTACACTCTATGCCACACAGTGTTGTGTGTGCCTTTGGATTTCTTCTCTCTCTCTCTTTTTTTAAAGATTTTATTTATTTATTCATAAGAGACACACAGGCAGAGGGAGAAGCAGGCTCCCTGTGGGGAGCCCAATGTGGGACTCGATCCTGGGACTTCGGGATCATGCCCTGAGCTGAAGGCAGACGCTCAACCGCTGAGCCACCCAGGCGTCCCTCTTTTTTTTTTTTTTCTTCTTTAAAGATTTTATTTATTTATTTGAGAGAGAGAGACAGAGAGCATGAGCTGGGGTAGGGGCAGAGGGAGAAGCAGACTCCAGCTGAGTGAGAAGCCCAGGATCCTGACATCAACACCTGAGCCAAAGTCAGGTGCTTAATCAACTGAGCCACCCAAAGGCCCCTGCCTTTGGATTTCTCTTAAGCTGTGAGCAGAGTATATTCAAGAGCCTCAGTTGGCCCTCTGAATAAGTACTTTAAACTCCTTTAGCTACATGTGTACTAATCGTTTGGTCAGAAACTACTTTTTGTTTCTCTGGGAACTTCAGATCATTAGGGGAGAGTAGTGGTATAGAGAAGTTCTTGAGAGGTGGGTGTGTGAGCCCTACGTCCTGAGCACAGAGGACCCATTATTAGCAGCGTTGCCCTGAGAATTTGTCCAACCACAGAGGATTTTGTAAGTGTAGGGCATGGCAATAGTTCAGCAACTTGAAAAGTTACCAGCTCCCAGATTGGACTAGGGAATACTAATGTACTAGTTGACGACTCTAGTCAACTCATCCCGATTCCCTTTTACCACTCCCTTTTTGAGAATCATAGGAGGAAATCTTATTACCGGCAGTCAAATCATGTAATGCCCGAATTCTATTCCGATGCCCCCTGGAGTCCAGTATAATCTCATTCATATAAGGCATTGCAGACATTTGGGCATGATTGAGAACCTGGTTAAATCCCATGCAGTTCAGAATTGAACTTGTCTAAAATAAGGGGATGTGAGTTGGTTTGAGACTTCATTTGAGCAGAATTGAACTTCCTTATGTCAATCTTTGCACTTCCACTTTGAGCTAATAAGGACTATTCAGCACAAGTTCACGTAATTGGCTCTGTTGGGAATGTGCACAATATGGATAGTTGGAAATCTAAGGGGCCTGGAGATACCATTCTCCTATATCATGTAGACAGAGTAGGTGAAAAAGAATCGGACCAGGTGTAGTCCCTGTGCTCTAGACACTTACAAATGAAACCACTGCCAGCACTAATCCTATGTGGCAGGTGCTGTGCAGAGTGCATCACTGGTCTTATCTGTTGTGATCATCACATGGATCCTGATAGTGAGGTGTCGTCATTTTACTGGGAAACTAAAGCTCAGAGTATAGCCTGGCCCCAGTCACGTTACTAGAAAGTGGCAGAGCTGGATGCAGTCGTATCTGCTGATCCACAGCTCTGGTTCCCCCCCAGGACTCCTCTGAGTCATATGTGGAAGGGGTCTGACCTCGAGCTGGTTTCAAAGCAGCTGGTTTGAGAACGGGGAAGGGAGGGCATGTGTACCTTGTGGGGCCCAGCAGGCACCACTGTCCCGCATCGTCATCTTGAGTACCTGCATAGGTTCAGTTTAATTTCGCTGAATGTGGTTTAAGGATGACTATTCTTCATGCTACAGCTAAGGATGGCCACGGACTCCCCAGTTCAGGAGGGTTCTCCAGGCCTACACCTAACTCTCAGAGGGGCCAGGACAAGATGCACATGGAGAGCCATGTACCATATGTGGGGATAGCAAGCTGACGACCTGTGAGATGTGTTTTATTCTCTACTACTGGCAACTAGACCTTCATCACCACCTGGCAGGGTGCACTTCAGGGTTCTTACGGAAACGTCACGGCCTGGGGAGGGTTGCCCCTGGCCTGTAGACTTCCCTGCTTCTCTTTCCACTGCCGGCTCCACCTTGTGTAGTGAAGGGTCTTGCACGTACCCCTGAGTGGACGCTCCAGTCTGTATGTTTAGGCTATGTTCTTGCTCCTGCAAACAGCTTCCCCTCTGGTCAAGAATTGCTAGTGCTGATGGCACAGTCAGACCACAGGAGGCTAGATCTAGGAGGGAGGCCTGTGCAGACCCTGGCAGTGGGTATGGGGCTCTGGGGACAGGCAGTTCTGGCGTTCTGGGTCCTGGGAGACCGGTCAAGAATGTGGGTCGTGGACTCCGGGGTCTGTGAATCCTTGGCTGCGCAGACTGCGTACTCCATGGGGGGTGCTGCAGCAGGAGGAGGGCCAGATGGGCCCTCTAAAGTAGAGCTCTCACCCCTCGTCAGGGTCCAAGGGCAGTGCTGGGGTTCTCAGGACAGGTGCTTTTTGGGAGAAGACTTATACACAGATGAGGTGTATGCAACTGCCAGTCGCAAGTCAGTGGCTCTCAGCCTGTCCTGCAGGCTTGTTGCCTTTCATATGAGCAGCATGCTGCTGCCAGTAACTTCCAGAAAGGTGCAGTTATTCCCATGAGGGATCTTGTCGAAATCTGCCAAGGCCAAGTGAGGTGTGTTTCTAAAAAGGCTGGTGCGGGTCCTGAGAAACCACCCTAGGGGGCGCCACGCCCCCCCCCCCCCCCCAAGTCTTAAGTGCTTTTACCCACATGCAGAGAAATGCTGGGAAAATCACCTGTGCTACAGCATCTCTTTAAATTTGAAATCCAGGACCGATACCCTGAGGACCTCTTCCAAAGAAATTACTTCCCAGCTAGATTTCATGCTGCTACTTTAATTTTGTCACAGTGATGCATGGCGGCTCAAGGGCCCACCAGTCATGGAGGTGCCAGTCGATTGGAGCCGCGGCGGCGGCTGCCACAGAAACAGCCCAACGTGCCAGAAGCCTGAAACCTCAAGTTCAACCGGGGAAGAGGTATGAATCTAATTTTAGGTACTAATAAGAACTTCATTGTTGATGCAAACACAATGAGAGAGTGGATACAAGCTGCCTTAGGAGGAAAGCTGCCCGGGAATGCCAGTAGATAAGGAATGGGGTATTATATTCTTGGCTTTCTTTCAATAGCTAGAAAACTACAGATTTCACACACACACAAACACACACACACTCATATACACTCCTAAGATTTTAAATTTTTTTTGGAAGTTTATACAGATTTAAAAATTTTTTTTAAAAAAACTTTTTTTTTTTATTTCCTGGCATTATTGAGGTGTGATTGACAAAATGAAAATCCCACAAGGCTTTTGTTAAAGGATGCATAGCTCAGAACAGTCTGCAGATCATGTAGCAATTTAGTTCTGGAATATGTCATGGAACACAAATTGTACGTTTGCTGGAAATGTACTTAAGAACCTAACATAATTACACCTATGAAATGTATGTCCTGTATAGGATAAAGAATAACTAATCTGTCAAGAATTTATGTAGTAAACTCCACCCATTGTTTTTCACTGTTAACACAGTGAACGTAATTAGAAATGACGTAATATGATTTGTGATTTGTTAAAGAAATGAAAACCTGCTTCATACTTTGCCCCTGCTGTTTGCTGGTGGATGTCAGCAGGCATGGCGTTGTTGTTGGGTGTCACCTTCCATAACAGGAGCCTCGGCGCTCCTTAAGTCTTCCTTGGTTCAGAAGCAACACAAGATTCTAAAAGGCGGTCATTTAGATGAGTACACAGCAGTAGCACTCTTCAGGACTAGCAGAGCGGAAGAAGAAAGGTAGCTGTGAACTCTTAACTCCTTGGCCTTTCTTCTAGACCAGAAGTTCCATGGAAGCGATACAGCTATGAAAATAAATAGTCTTATTTCGTGTTTATTATTTTTTCAACTCTCTGGCCTCCTAAATGATCGAATCTGGTGAGGAAAACAAAGCACAGTTGCTGTCTCTGTCCTGCTGACATGGACACCATTTCCCCCATACCTCCTTGGCCCCTTTTGTCTCACTTTAGCCATGATACAAAGTACAAAGTACTTTAAGTACTTAGGGTTTAGCGTGAATATTTGGTATAACCTGAAGAACTTGATGCAGTGTGGCATCCTGGGAGAAACATTATTTCATTACTGTATTATGCCAGTAGCAGCAGCCTTATAAATAGCCTTAATATTAAAATCATTAAAATTAAATAAAAATCTAAAAAATACATAAATTCCATTAAGTAACTTTACATCACATTTACCCAAAAGAAATGAGTTCATTTTAGGAACTATAGACAGGCAAAAAAAATAAATAAATAAAATAAAAAAAAATCACTGATTGAGAATCTTACCACCTAGTATTTTTGTCGCTATAACTATTGATATTTATTCAGTGTATGTTTACCAAAATGTGACAGTCCTGCACATACTGTTTATATGATTTCTTTTTAAATTTAATAAATATCTACCACGTAAATATAGATGTTTACCATTATTTTAATAGCTTAAGAGTATTTTATTTAATTTCTTACTTTTTGTTTTTTAAAGATTGTATTTATTTGAGACAGATTGCAGAAAGGGTTGGGGAGAAACGGAGAAGCAGACTCCCCACTGAGCAGGGAGCCCAACATGGGGCTTGATCCTAGGACCCTGAGATCATGACCTGAGCCGAAGGCAGATCCTTAACCAACTGGGCCACCCAGGTGCCTCTTAAGAGTATTTTATTGGATCATAATTTATCCATTCCCACGTTACACGGCACTTATTTCTGGTGTTGAAATAATAGAAACGATGAATGTTTCTGTGTATCATTCTGGTGCCAGATGTTATGAAGGCCTGTGCTGCTTAGTGCTCAGATGAGAGTGGACGAGACAGTGCACTAACCCTCCACTAGACCGGGGTCAGCAGGCTTGTCTGCAAAGGGCTCCATAGTGGGCCATTCAGTCTCTTTGCTGCCATTTAACTCTGCTGTTATAATGTGAGAGTGGCCCGTAGAGAATCTGTGAAATAATGGGTGGAGCTGCCAATAAAACTTTATTTACCAAAACAGGGTGATTTGACTCACCAGCTGTAGTTTGCCAAACCCTGTCTAGAAGCAGCACAGATCCTCAGGCTGATTACATCTTGGAGGTTTCACAAAGAGGTAGATTTTGTTTCTTTATCTTTATGTATCTTTATGCTGACTCTATACAGTGTAACAGAATGAAGCTGTTTGTTTATTAATTGATGATCTTAAGTTTATGAATAATTAGTAGTTAAAAGAAAAAGCCTCATATTTGGAGAGTTCCAGAATATAAAAATGGCAAAATGTTGAAACCATTTCAAGTGAGAAATTTTAAATATGTTATGCTATTTACACTTTTACATTCAAACAAAGGGAACTTGACATTCAGAGCTTGGTCTCAGGTGGGCTCTGTCTGGAGAGGAGGAGAGACAGAGACTGGCTAAAGCTTTACACTTCACATTCTTGAATAGAGGGTGTCAGACTCGGACAGCTAATGCGCCATTCATCATGCACAACACAGTTTTGAATTAAGTGCATGTGTATTTAGGTATTTTCAAATTGTGTGCATCTCTTTCATGTGTAAGATCAGCATGGTTTACAAAACATGGGTTTGCAGGGCAGAGTAACATCCAATTTAAAGCCACTCTTGTTTGGAGCTCAGGTGTCATAGACGAAAAACAGTTCTAAATCTCGTTTGCACATTGATACCCTCTGTGGCTTAGGTAAGTCTCTTAGCTTGGGGTTTCTTAACCAGTAATCTATTAACTGGCAGCAGTCCATGGAAAAATGCGCTTAATTTATTGTGAGTCACAGATTTTGAGAGTGAGAGACAGGATCCCAGAACACTGGTGGTCTAAGTAGAAAGATTAAGGGAGTATTACAATTTTGCAATATAATGAATCTGGAATTTTCAGGTATCAAGAAAAGAAAACTGAATACCAGCTTATAAATTCATTGCTAGGACTTTTAGTCAGAGGAAGTGGAAAAGTTGTAGGACAAGGACATATAGTTGCTTGGTTTAGTAAAAGGGAGATTAAACCCCCATCCGTGGTTCTCAGTAGAGGGAGGGGGGTACCTTCCCCTCAGATCCCCCAGATGTATTTGGCAATGTCCGGAGACATTTTTGGTTGTCACAACTCAGGGTGAGTTGTGTGCTGTTGCCATCTAGCAAGTAGAGGCCAGGATGCTACTGCAACCCTGCAGTGCACCACACAGCTCTCCACAGCAAAGGATCATCCAGCCCAAAATGTCAGTAGTGCCGAGGGAGAGAAATGCCGGTCTAAGACAATGATGTGAAAAGGGAACTTGGTTCATCCTTATAATGGGGTCTGCGTTGGAAGCCCTCACTTCACTGGGATGCAACATTCCCTTTACCCCAGGAATTGGTTTTTATTTTGAGAGTTAGGCTGAGAATTCAGATTTCTTCCTCATTCACCTGTACTGTATTTGCTCAAGGAAACAGTTTTCAAGCCTGTATAAATTTGACACACTCTGCTGCCTCACATTACACCAAATGTTGTTAGCGTTTGTTTAAAAATTGCAATTAAAATGTCATTGTGATCACATTGGCTTTAGATTAGGAACGGTCTTCCAAACAAGAGCCATCTGGGCAGGATCAGCTCAGTCACTGCAGCAGTTAGAGGTGGTCTTGATGTAAGATGGTTAGAAAGTGGGGCCTCTCGGTATTTGTAATGATGGTGTTTTACTTTTTTGTATTTGAGAATCTATTTGAGAGAGAGAGCATAAGTTGAGGGGGAAGGGCAGAGTGAGAGGGAGCCAGCTGAGCAGGGAGCCCCAATGTGGGACTCGATCCCAGGACCCTGGGATCATGACCTGAACCGAAGGCAGACACTTAACTGGCTGAGCCACCCAGGAGCCCCAATAATGGTGTTTTAAATTGACCTCAGGCTGATTATTCTTCAGCTGCTTCATCAAGAATGAATAAAGGGTACATCCATCCATACATACAGTGGAATATTATTCAGCCATAAAAGGAAAGTAGTACTGATTCATGCTATCACATGGATGAACCTTGAAAATTTTATGCTAAGTGAAAGAAGCCAGACACAAAGGGTCACGTATGTGATTCTATTTCTACGAATAGCAGATCCATAGACCCAGAAAGCAGATTAGTGGTTGCCAGGAGTGAGCAGAAGGGAGAAAGGGGAATGGCTCTAGTGTGTGGGAATGTTCTTTCAGGGCAATGAAGATGCTTAGGAACTAGATAGTTGTCATGGTCACGTAATTTTGTGCATATGTTAGGAACCACTGAATTGTTTAAAGTAGCAGATTTTATGGTATGTAAATTATATCTAAATTCTTACAAATACAAAAAAAAAAGCATGAATGGAAGAAACACTCCTTGTCCTTTAGTGTGTGCCCCCCCCCCCCCCGCCCCACCACAGACATTTTCACTGCCGTCACAGGGCTGCTGTTCATGGGAGCACACAGGCCTCCAGTTTTCCAGGGTCTCATTTCTGGCTGTGACCTCATCATTCCAGGCCTCCAGTCTTGAGCTTCTGGTAGGCAAGGAAGCATGAGGGAGGCTCTTGGCCCCACTCTGGCTCCACCTTGCACCCGGAAGGTGTTGAGGAATGGAAGACTCATCTTGGCCTGCCTCTCCTTAGCCTGCAGGCTCCAGAGTCACTCTGGATGTTTGAGGTTTATGGTTTGCGCAGTACTTTTGTTTATTTAACTTCCCCCAAACTACTTGTTTGTTTTTTTTTTGTTTTTTGTTTTTTGTTTTTTTTTTTTTGCTTCTTCTTGCTGGTTCAGTGCTTGATTCTTCAGCCTGGGACCTATCTGAATAAGTTAGAGCAATTTCTTGCAGGAGTCCCCTAAGCAGTGGCTCTAGATGGAGGATGGAGAGGTGAGTGCCAAGTGAGAAGTGTACTTTATTGTACCAGGAGACACTGAAGAAGGAGTAAAGGCAGGCTCTGGAGAAGGAAGCAGAGTAGCAAGAAATAATTTGACAGTAAAAATTTAATTTAATAATTAACTAAAGAGAAGGGAGCAAATGAAAGAATTAGACGTGGGCTGGTATTATACTCTGGACGTTTAAACTTTGGGAAACCCACGGCTTCTTGGTGTGTGATAGAAAGTATATGTTCTGGATCATGCTAAATAACTAAGCACACTATTTAATTCTCAAAACAACCTTTTGAGATAGTTGGTGGACTCAGTTTTATAGATGAGGAAACCAAAGTTTGGAAACACCGAGTAATTTGTGTATTCATAAGGCATTGACATGAACAGTTGCTCCAGCCTCTGGACAATTATAGATTTACACCTTGGCTCTCAGTCCCTAAAGAAGGGGATCTTTGTTCAGGCCTGACGATTTAACGGAGCCCAGAGAAGACCAGCGTCATGGATGGTGCCAGGGGACTGAGGTCAGAGTCAGAGCTGGGACTGTACAGAATCAGAAGCCTGATGCTTTCCCAGATAGGTAGCCCTGTGATGCCAGCAAGCAGCTGTGTAGGTTTGTACCTTTGCTTTGAACAGATTGGATGTGAGTTTGCTAGCTGAACCAAGATTGTAACCTGGAGGAGAAAGAAAATTACAAATCAAGCATTGCTTTTTATTTTCTGTAGGAAGCCGAAAACGGGAATATTAATGCTAAACATGGGAGGCCCTGAAACCGTGGGAGATGTCCACGACTTCCTTCTGAGGCTCTTCTTGGACCGAGACCTCATGACACTTCCTATTCAGGAGTAAGACACGTATAAACACCTGCGCTTATTCCTAACTTGTGCCTCGCATCTTGCCTGAACCTCAGTCCTTTGGTTTCAATAACTAAATGGTTTTAATGCATATCTGATAGTGGTTAGAGCAGCATTATTATTTTCCATTAGGTATAAGAAGGATGTGATAATGAAAGAATTGCGGGGGAGAGAGAAAGCAAGTTGGGGGGTTTCTTTTTTTTGGGGGGGTGTTCTCTTTGAGCCCTTTCCTTCCCAGAGCTCTGGGAAGGCAAATTGCAGTTGCCTTGACACAGCTGAAGTCCCTTTAAAGATTGTTACACATATATTTGTACTTGGCACTCAGCAGCTGATTAATACTCAGGGAAACATTGGTTACGATTCATTTGTACTGTAAATATGGACTGTGGCTCTTTCCTTTTATCCTTCCCTCCCTCCTTCCTTCTCTTCTAAAATAGGTTCTTGTAATGAAAAATTTATACATGCTTATGATAAAAAGTGCAGATAGCAGAAAAAATGTTCTGTAAAAATCAAGTGTCCCACTTTTTGGGCTCCAACACTCGCCTGGGAGGTTACGGAAAATCTGTAATTGTACACATGTATTTCTGGGTTACATTCAGAAATAGTTTCATGCATGTGCAAGCATATATGTATCTTTATCTATAGAGATGTAGGTATATATGCACATATGTATATACCTCCCTCTCCTTTTCAACACAAATGTGAATATGTACATTATTTAACACTTTGTTGTTGTTTTCTTTTTAAACTTAACAATGTGTCTTGGAGATTGTTCCATAGCAGATAAGATAGATCTGGTTTATTATTTTTTTTTCCATGACTATATAGAATTGCATTGTCTGGTCAAACCTTAATTTAACCAGTGGCTCACTGGTAGACATACAGATTGTTTACATGTTATAATGAACACTCATGTGGTTTGTGTACATCTCTGCTCACATATGCAAATATATCTGTGATTAATAAGCATTTTCTTAAAGTAAGAGGGATATATGCTTGCTAATTTCTTCTATATCCTAGTTCCTATAGGTGTAGGATCAGGAAGTGTTACAGTAGTGACTAGCACACCTCTAGGATCTGTGCATGGGTGTTTAGTGTCCTGAATCTTCAGGGTGTGTTGCTAGAATAACATGGGGGGCAGCAGTGGCTTTAGTTTTCTCTCTCTAATCGAGGCCAAAACAGTTAGCTGTTGTCACTCAAAGCTACTGTTTTTAAAGGCTTGATCTTGGTAGGCTTTTCTTACAATTTTGCTCATCTTTTCTATTGAGTAGTTTCTGAGGTTGCTAAAGTGGAATAAAATCCACTTAACCTACCTGTTAAATGATTTAGCAAGCTGGCACCAATCATCGCCAAACGCCGAACCCCCAAAATTCAGGAGCAGTACCGCAGGATTGGAGGCGGGTCTCCCATCAAGATGTGGACCTCCAAGCAAGGAGAAGGCATGGTGAAGCTGCTGGATGAGTTGTCCCCACACACAGGTACAGTGCTTCTTAATCAGCATCTCTCTTGGCTTGTTCTTTCAAGGGAGATAGGAAGTCCCAATACAGATGCAGTTCTGAGTACCCGCTGCCCTTGATCTGTGGGGGTTCCTATATGATGCATGGTCCCTTAACTCTGTTCTTGATGCATTATCCTTTGTCCTTGGCCATGTGGTCTGTTACTTCCTTATGTTACAGATGAAAGAGCTAGAGATTTGGAACATTAGTTTCAAGAGGAAGCTTGAGGTGTGTGTTAAACTGAGCTAAATTATAAAGAGGCCACATACCATGAATAAAAGATGCAGATCACATTGTCCCAGAAAGAAATCTTTGGGAAATGGATTGGGGGTGCTGTTAGTGCCTTTTCTTTCTGTGTGGAAAGCTAATTAGAGAACACAGCAGAATTAGCTAGCTGTCCCGGCAGCCACTGGGTGGTGAACAACTTTCAGCAACTGTTCTCCGCGGTCAGCAATACTGGCTAGTGTGCAGCCGTAAAGAGGATTGTGTGCAGCTGGTAACCGTCCTCTGAGAACCTCTAATGCAGAATAATAATGTGGATTATATGCAGAATAATGTGCAGAATTGAGCACTAACTACACGAATGAATTGTAAGTGCTGTATTTAACTGTGTTCAAGACACGTTCAAGATTGCAGGACACACCCTTATTCTTACATGTGCTAAGACAAGAAACTCCGCCAGGTAATTTTAAGACGGTAGACGTGGACCAATATGAGAAATATTAAACCCAGAAATGTACACGTGAGGCACATGAAATACATTCATTGCAGATGCATTTTGGGGCTTCAGAGTCAGGAGAGGAGTGTGACACAGCAGGCACCCAGGGCAATAGCCCCTGCAGGCGAGACCGAAAGCATTTCACTCCTTTCTGAGAAAATACCATCATTGAGTGTCACCTCAAGCTGTTCTCAGAAGCCACCGTTTCCTGTCTCATACAGGCACGAAGGCTCTGGCTCAGCTCATCTCACTTGGAAAATTGTTCAGTCATGCTTCTGAATATTGGGTTAGCTTCCTGCCTTTGCCTGTGGCTCAAGGACAGTTCTTACACAGTTCAGGCACTCGTACCACAATATATCTTGAAAATGTTAGGGGGGGAAACTTGGCCGTGCCCTACTCACACCTGCTTGAGAGAGGACAAACCATCTAGTCATTCACAGTTTATCATGATAAAAGGTTTAGTGTGAATCAGATCTCTAGTTGCTGTCTTCAGTGAAAAAGGGAGGTGGCAAGATGCCATTTTTCTTCTGTTGACATTGGTAGTACAATACCCATCACCATCAATGATCCCAGCAGAGGGCCACCTGGGTGGCTCATTTGGTGAAATGTCTGCCTTGGGCTCAGGTCATGATCCCAGGGTCCTGGGATTGGGCTGGCTCCCTGCCCAGCGGGGAGTCTGCTTCTCCCCCCTGCTCGTGCTCTCTCTTGCTGTCTCTCTCTCAAATAAATAAATAAAATCTTAAAAAGAAAAGAAAAGAAAAAGGATCCCAGCAGAGGTTAGACTTTGAAAAAAGAATACAGATGGAGGGCATCCTTCCTACCTCCCCTCTCTCCATGGGGAGGCTGCTGGGTTGTCTGCATCAGACGGGCCAGCTATGGCCTCAGCCTCCTGGGTTGGCCTGGAGAGTCCCATGGAATGAACTAGATTTAAATCCCTTACTATCAACCATCTGATTATTTTAATCTGTGGCCATCTAATACAAAGGAAGTTACATCACCTAGATTCCCTGCTTTGAGGGACCAAAGAATAGTAATATCCATTAAATGTTTTCATAGTCCAAATTGGAAGTGATTTTTAAAAAATCAGTTAATAAGCATTCTATCTTATAGAGACTTATGAAAAAACAAAGTCTATTATTCTTCACTATAACTTTGGGGATAAGTTTAGGGTATCCCCAAAGCACCATCAGCTCAGTGGTTTGCCTGTCTAGTCACTAAATCATTACTATTGATTATTGAGAAGTAGTCTCAATTTAAACAAAATATCAACTTTCCTCCTTTCTCACTCCATTCACTGGCCCATTTGATCCCTCACATACCTACTCTTTCATGCATTAATTCCCACTTCCGTCCAGCCAACCACCAGATATTTATAAGCACTGACCACAGGTCAGGTACAGTATAGTGACGAGGGCTAAGTAGTGAATAAGTCACACCCTTACCTTCATGGATTGGAGTTTCCTGGAGGCAGGGAGTAAATAGTCTTAGGGGCTACGTTTAGTTTCTCTGCATCTGGGAAGCTTGTCCTGGGCCTGGTCTTGGGAGGGCTTTGGTACTGATGACCTGTCACTGTCCTCTGTGGCCACACTTGGGACCCTCTGAGCAGGCAAGTTGAATCATTGCTACCCTGCTTGGTAGATGACCACCTATTGGTTTTGGCAGACCTGCTCTGGTGGGTATGGCATGGGTGCTTGATAAAGGCCAAGACTGTCCACTCATTCATTCCTCAGTGGTGCATTGAGTGGCCTGCACTGTTCGATACTGCTTTTCAAAGTCAAAAGACGTGGTTTCTACTTACGAGAAGCTTCCAGTCCAGTGGGACCTGCTTTTGCAGCCTAGTCTGCTTATGGGGCAGAAAGGAAATCTTTTAAGACTTACCAGAGAGATGCTATACAAAACGAGTATGAGGACCAGTGATCACACAGAATGCCGATGGAGGAAAAATAAAATAGCCTCAAGGTTTGGAAAGTGCTTTGGGGGAGCATTGTACTGCAAACCAAGATTATCAGGTGTGGCTCTGTGGCTCTACCAGGGGCTCGTCCCATTACCTAGAAAAAGGTTCCTTGTCCTGCTAGTTAACGCTTCACAGAATGGGCCTGAAGCCCAGCCATGAAGATCCAGGTGCCACACCCTCTTCATGTGGCTTTTTCTTCCTGCTTTCTCAGTCCCTCCCTCCATTCTTTTCTTTCTCCTTCTTCCCTTCTCATACTTTCACCCCAAACCATAAAGTGTACTTTTAGACTATTTGTCTATTTCTTTTGGGAAAAAGTTCTCTTTAGGCAGAAGAGTATGATGATTACAAACAGAAATGTTCCAAACTCTCATTTTTTAGGGACGTAGTTGTTGCTTAGTAGCTCGTATAGAAATTTTAGCTTGCACTGGCTTTGTGTAGAATCGACTATTAACTCGTCTGGTCAGTTTTATGAGGGAATATACCTTGGAATTGGTTTCATATGGCCACACCCCATTACAGGAATTGAGGGAATACAGAAGGAAATAGATGAGTCATTTCATGAAAGTCTCAATCTAAAATGCATTTAAAAAATGATTGTTTAATTATGTCGACCAGCAGCTTTTCAGGAAGCTGTAAGTGCATGCCACTCCATCGAGTAACTCAGTTGTTCTTTACAGGAGGCAGAATGGGGAGGACCTGGGCTCTGATCAGATGGAGCTGGCCTCCCCAGTCCTGGTTGTAGGACTTCAGGCAGATGAGTTACTCCACTAAGCCTTATCTTGAAAAAGGGGGTGATAACAGAACCCTACTTCTAGGATCATTGTGAATAGTACAGAAGATAATCACAAAAAGCATCAGTCTGGTGCATGGTACATGATAAAAATTCAATAAATGTGAGAGTTTATTATTACTCACTGTTGGCCTAGGGCTCACGATGTGATGCACCTCAAAAAGCATTATGCTATATACTTCACACCTTTCCCTCAGAGTCATGTACCAATCAGACATTTGAGCTGTCGTACAAGCTAAATGAATGAGCTAGCAACTCATGAAGTTTCTCTGCTCAAAAATCCAACTCTGAGTTCTTTTTTTCTTCTTTTCCTGGTTGCCACCGAAGACTCTTAGCTGGGCTGCGGGAGCTCCAAGGGTAGACTAGGCGAGGCTGAGACTTGTGTGTTTTGTGGTCCTCCTGGTAGAGGTGCTGCCTGCCGGCTGTGGTATGGGTTAACATCAGCAGGCTCCTGCCGGTGACAGCCACCTGCGGTGTGACACCCCAACCCTACAGGAGTGGGATGGTGAGCGGCCTCCAGGGAAACATTTATTCTTTCTTCAGGCGAGGCCCGATAGGAGACCGAGCATGTTGCCATTCTCCTGCAGTCTGTTTATGCGGGCCACCTTTAATCGAACAGTTTACCAAGTCTTATCTGTTCCTTCCAGAGTGTTTTACCCTCCCTCACTTCAAAGTGAGGTCACCACCCAGCCTTTATCTGCAGGGGCAGCCACTCTACCTCTCTTGTCTGCAGTGTTTGAGGAACTCCCAGGCCCCAGGCATTTAGGCTGCAACTTTTCAAAGGTGAAAAGAAAATGCCAGAAGCTGGTTGGCCTGCAGCTTTGGAGGACCTTCCCATAGCAATCTAGTGGAAGAATTGTCTAAGAATAGATTAGAAGAGAAATTCCTCTTCATCCTGGGTCCCCTGGAGCTCCTGAGGCAGGGACTTGGTAGTATGATAGTTGACAGTTTTCAGATGACCCTCAAAATCTTCAGTTGGTCAGTCGTTTGGAGTTTGCTTACTGCATCATGCCCTTTGGTTCACTTTAACTGCAGTTCATCATTTTACGCAGAAGAATGTAAAATTGATGGTTGAGGAGGAACAGAGTGCTGAAAATGACTCCCCGCATGCCCCTTCCTTACTCTTTTCGGGGTCCCCAACTAGAGAGTATCAGAGCAGCCCGTCCTTCCCACACACACACGCTCCTCTGTCCTTGCCCTGGTCTGCACCAGTCCTTGGGAATATGTGCACTGACTGCCCATCCCCTATGTCCCGTCCCTGAACAACGTTCCATACAGATGTACAACCGGTAAACACATCACCTTTTCCTTCCCTTCCACCGAAATGTTTCTCATGGCTGTCTCGTGTCTGTACTTAGTGGCAGCCCCTGCTAAGGCCCCAGCAGCTGCATCATCTTGGTTCTGCTCTGACTTATCATTGATGTAGCGGTTTCTCAACGTCATCCCTGAGTGGGAGTCAGGCTTCTCCTACAAAATGACAGGAAACTTTCAGTTTTATGATTTTAGAAATGCTTAAGAAGTTGTGTTGTGGTGCATGCTTTTAAGATCCAGGACAAATAGGTGAAGGACAAAGGAGGGATAGGAGAAGAGGTGTGTAGGGAACACACAGGGAGGGAAGACAAGGGCATACGCCGACTTGGGCTGTTACTTCCGATCTGAATTGATGCTTCCAGTTCAATTCAAGTGTGCTTGCTTGCTTTCTCTCTTTCCTTTTTATAAAATTTTTATTTATTTATTCATGAGAGACTCACAGAGAGAGGCAGAGACACAGGAAGAGGGAGAAGCAGGGAGCCTGATGTGGGACTCGATCCCAGCACCCTGGATCACACCCTGAGCCAAAGGCAGATGCTCAACCACTGAGCCACCCAGGCGTCCTTCAAGTTATTGGGTTTCTTTCATCTATTAAATGAGGAGAATCATTTCAGTCGATGATTATCGATGGATGGTTGTTGAGTATCCCAGAGCTTATGCTGGTTGGTGACTTGGGGTCTGAGGGAACAGGAGGGAACCCCAGTAGTTGAGTTGAGGGGCCAGGAGGGGGGCATGGGCTGAGGAGTGGTGAGACCCACGTGACATTTCAGCTCGACTGTCTCCTAGGTGTGACTTTGGGCAGGTTCATTAGCCTTTGAGGGTTTCAGTTTCTTTACCTGAAAAATGGGATTTATTTTTTTTAAAGATTTTATTTATTTATTTGAAAGAGAGAGAACAAGCAGGGAGGAGGGGTAGAAGGAGAGAGAGAGAGAGAGAGAGAGAGAGAGAGAGAGAGAGAGAGAGAGAGTGAGAAGACTCCCTGATGGGCAGCTCCGGTGGCTCAGCAGTTTAGCGCAGCCTTCAGCTCAGGGCATGATCCTGGGGATCCGAAATCGAGTCCCACATCGGGCTCCCTGTATGGATCTTGCTTCTCCCTCTGCCTGTGTCTCTGTCTCTCTCTGTGTGTCTCATGAATCAATAAATAAAATCTTTAAAAAAAAAAAAAAGACCCCTGATGAGCTGAATGTGGGACTCGATCCCATGAACCCTGGGATCATGACCTGAGCAAAGGCAAACACTTAACCAACTACACCACCCAGGTGCTCCAAAATGGGGTTTCAACGAAAGAAGAAATACAAGCAAAGTGTCCACTGTGGTATCTGGTACGTTAGAGGAGGTTGCACTTCAAGAATAATTGCTAGTTCTTTCCTTCCTTCCTTTGAAAATCTCTTATCTCAGCCAAGGGCAGAGAATACGGAACAGAAGTTTGAGTTTTAAAAACCACTGTGCTTAGCAAATGTGTGTGTGTGGGTGGGGGGAGGATTGTGGGGGAAGGTCGATCTCAGAAAATAGTGGTTTAATGTCCATGCACTGACTGGATAAGATCCGAGGAATATTCTAAACTTAACCCACATTATCAGCCTCACAGGAAATTGGGTTAACTGTTCTTTGTTCTGGGCTTTGCCTTATGTTTGGTGACTCTGAGAGATCTATATAAAGATTAATACTTTCTCCTTTCCACACATGCTTCCTAATAGCCCCTCACAAATACTATATCGGATTCCGGTACGTCCATCCTTTAACAGAAGAAGCAATTGAAGAGATGGAGAGAGATGGGATCGAAAGGGCCATCGCCTTCACGCAGTATCCGCAGTACAGCTGCTCCACCACAGGTGAGGCTTCACCTTGACAGTGGGGGTGGGGGTGGGAGGAATGCCTGGCCCCGGCCTCAGTCACCAGGGAACCTGAGTGCGGAAGGACAGGATAAATCATCCTTCAATTTGAATGGCGAATCCAGCCTGGCTGCTTTAAACATGAGGGTTCAGGTCAGTCTATTTGAAATCTCATGGTTCATCTGTCCCTTGAGTTATGGGCCAGTCGGCCACGAATTACAAATGGTGGGTGGAAGGTGGTTGTCGCTAGCGCTCGGTACCTTAATGTAGTTGTGTGATGGATCCGTGATGAACCTGAAGCCTCGTCCTATGTTTGCGTAATAAACCTTATTTTTATGGCAACTGTAACATTCTTAGTAATGTAGCAAAGGTGATAGCTGTTTCCGCTTGGAAAGCAGAGGTGCCCAGGTAGCATGAGAAATATTGGTATGTTTTTTTGTGATGCTTCATTTATGGGCTGGTTTACTGGTTAAACCAAAAGTCAGCTGGAGGTTCCCTTTGTAAACTTCTCTCAGTGTTCTAGATTTTGGAAGATTATTACTGTGTGTTGTTCCTATAGATTTAACTGGAGCAGGAGAATAATCATTTTTGCCCTCTCTATGTCATTGGTAATAGGTAAAGCTTCTACTGTTGCCCACAAATACATTTCATTGTGTTCTATTTCAGGGATTGGAGTCAGCACATTTTGACTTCCAAATTGCTTTTGGATGTTAGGACATATTATTTCTATAATTATCAAGAGAAATAAAAGGCTGTTGGAGGAAATGTTCAAACCCTGTTGTGTGCCTTAAATGCTTGTTCAGAGCTCCTATGAAAATGCCTGAGTTCTCAGACATCTCAAGAGTTTGAGTTGTGACTTCCTTTGGAAATGGATCTCTGTAACACAAGATGTCTGCTAATAATGTTATTGGGGAAGAAATCGGATTTTATAAGTTTTTAAGCATACTTTTGCTTGCTTTAAAAAATACTTCTCAAATGGCGGGGTACCTGGGGATAGCTCAGTTGGCTGAGTGTCTGACTCTTGATTTCAGCTCAGGCCATGGTCTCAGGGTCATGGGATTGAGCCCTGTGTCGGGCTCTGTGCTCAGCATGGAGTCTGCTTGTCCCTCTCTTGCTGCTGCTGCCCCCTCCTACCCCCCGTACTCTCTTTCTTTCTCAAATAAATAAATAAAAATTTAAAGATACCTCAAATGTAGATGTCTATTGTCAACATTAGACAAGTTAAGAAAATGGTTATTGGTATGACAGAGGATTGACTGTGGATTTCATTTCACAACTGACTCTACCAGTGGGTTTCAGGTGTCATTGTCTGTGTGGCTTTTCCCTGGTACATCTCACGTGAAAGGGCAGGTACATCTTCACTCAAGGATGCAAAAGCCTTTGGAAAGCACATTCTTTCTTTGAGGCCACGAGAGTGTTGTTACCCTGCTGTACCATTTGGGCACACTTTGTTGTGGTAGAGCCGATATATCCTGTGTATCAATAACACGCAATTTTTTTTTAACACGTATTTTTTAGTTCTATTTTCCCCTTAATTACTGTTTCTGGTAGTTTATCAGATGTTTCTAATGTGACCCAGAAGAACTAACGTGGCTTCCGGAAGTCCTTCTGTGGCTTCAGAAGTCTTGAAGATGATAATTGCCTGTACAGTGTGGCTTGCAGTATGAATATGCCTGTGACTGTGTGATTTCTGAAAAGATTGTTTTCAAGCCCACAGTTGACTCCATTTGGATTTATCTGACTCATTGTATTCCGGAATGGAACTTACTTATCTTTTTGAAAATCAAGTTTTAGGCTAAGTATACATTTGATTTAACTATGGGCTGTATCCGGGCTCTTATTTTAATCTGGGGACATATCAGATAAGCAGTCCTCATCGATACAGAAACCAGTGGATTGGTGTTGGGAAGCAGGGAAATATTTTGGAACATTTGCCCTATGTTAAGATTGAGGAAGAGGCTCCGAGTTAGGCTTAGTTGCATAGGATTAGCCTTGGCCTGGATGCCAGCTCCCCTAGGCAGGAAGAATTTGCATTCGGTTGGCATCATCTGCCTACCTTCAATCTTTGAATTTTCGTGATTTTGACCTCCTGGTTAAAAATAAAAGTTTTGTTAGATTACTTGTAAGAATTTGTTACCCATTTAACTTATTCTGGGGAACAATGATAACCTTGTAGAAGCAGATAAAAATAGAGAATGCTCATGCAGACCTAAATAAACTAGTCTTCTTATCAACAAGTCATTTAAAAACATGGTTATAAAGCTTTTATTGTAAGGGAGAAAATATGCACCTCATACTATTAAATAAAAATATCCCAAGTACTTAGGATACAAAATTGCACCCATGCTAAAATTACAACTTTGTGAAACAAAGCAGCCATACAGGAAAATAATAGGAGAGCTATGCTAGAGTCGAATGGTGGCTGTAATAGCATCCTGGATCATGGCCAGTTTCTTTTTTCCTTTATTCCCCACCCTCTACATTTTCTGCTGGGGTTGATTACCTTCATAATGGGGGAAAAAATTAACCTGCTTTCAGATGTTAGACGAGGTTCCTGCAAATCACTGCAGCTTATATTTCATAAATCCTCTGCCATCGTGTTTCTCACTAGAAATGGCCTCACTAGTCTTTGAAAGGCCATTGCAATTGATTGCTTTTTAGTGATCTTCATTTGCAGGGTAGTTAAATCCATCTGCATTTTAGAGCGTTGAAATGATTGTAATTAGACTGATTGAGTACGGAAGCAGTTACCTATTTCGCACTTACTGCCTTTACTAGTCTGTTTTTCATTTTCATTATAATCAACACACATCTACTAAGTGATCCCCTGTATATTTCAGGGAGCAGCTTGAATGCCATTTACAGATACTATAACAAGGTGGGAAAGAAGCCTGCGATGAAGTGGAGCACCATTGACAGGTGGCCCACACACCCCCTCCTCATTCAGGTAAGCTAGCGGCTGCTGGCAGGCTCTGTTGGCCCAGCATCTGGAGTGGGTCAGCTTCTAGTCCCTGCCTAGTTGGTGCTGGCCTTCCATGCCTGACCCTCCTCGTTGCTTAAATTGTGTGCTGAGATTTGAAAAAAGGAAAGGTATTAGAGACTCAACTTGTTATGACAAGAGAAAATAAATTTAAAGGTGAAAGGTGAGAGTCTTTCCTTTCTTTGGATTAACACTGCTAGTTACAAAGTATAGCAGAATTATATCTTGAGTTTTGTGTTTCCCGATATCCAGGATGGGAAAGGTTACACAGCGTGTTTCCATTACTTTACATTTATGTAATGAATGACTGACGAATCCTGTATTTTCTGAATCCTTCAGGATGGACAAAAGGTTTAAAAAATGTTGCAAGTTCTGAATCTACGTGTTCTGACATGAAAATAGATTTAACGTTTCAGTTGAGAAAGCTGTATTAGAAGAAATTTCAGATTTTCCCCATATTATATTATACTTATAATATTTCCATTAAGAGATGCTTGATTTTTGGAGAATCGGTTAAAACTACAATTCAAAAGCCAATAGCTTTGGATGGGTGTCACATAGACTCTTTTGCCATTTCTGCGTGAGAGTAGGACTGGTAATTGCCCTAAAATATACACATGTAGTTTTGTTCTGCCAGAGGGGGCTCCTAGTTGAGGTAGGGGACATAGGACGTGATTTAGGACTCATCCAGTTTATGTTTCATTCTGTGTACATTCTCTGGCAAAGTATCAATTGGAACATTTTTTTTTTTAAGCCTGGAGTCACTTAGAGCCTCTGACCACTAGGTGGGGCTAGACATCGTTAAACGCAGACACTCCCCCCTCCCCTCGCCTGGGCAGGCGGTGCTCCTTAGGCGCAGAGGTGATGGGGCAGGGGGGGTGAGGGGGGTGGGTTAACACTTGGGTGGAAACACAGGCTTCAGTGAAAATGACAAGGAGGTGCCTTCCCTTAGGGCTCTGCCCTCTGGGCCCCGCTCCCCTTGGCTGTGCTGCCGTTAGCCCTGCGGGAGCCCCAGCGTGCCCCCACTGCTCTGCCTGGGCCCTGGGGCCTGGGGCTTCAGGTCAGCACTGACATGTGGTAGCAGGGAACCGAGGGATCTGCACAGCATCTGCCTGCCCTGATCCAGTGAGTAATTAGATTTGCATTAAAATTCAGCCCTTTGAAAAGGGGGGAAGCAGAAAGATGGAAAGGTCTCTTAACTGAGGAAGTCTCCGTTCACAAAATGAAAGGGCATTTTAGAGACATTTATCTGCCCTTCTAGATGGCGTGATTGAAGGCTCTGAGAGCCGCCTGCCCCTTTCATTCCGCACAGAGATTGCACACAGAAAATACCGCAGACCGATTGTGGATGATCTAAGTAGCACTTCTACTCGCCTGTGACTCCTCAGTTTTGACGGCGGCTTAGCGTCTGCCGTAAGCCGTAGCAAATTGTGTTTCTGCTCGCACTTTTGTTGAGATGAGAAAAGGAAAAATGCTAAAATTCTCTGGAAACAAACGTTTACGGATAGGCTTTACTCTTCACATCATGTAGCTGACGTGAGGAGGTTTGCTATCTAGCAGAAATTTAAAGAGAGACAAGTCAAACCCTAAACAGAAACTAAAAACAGTTGAAAACGAACACCAAAAATATCATTTTACTGCGCCTTTTCTCCTGGTTACAGGTAGTAGTTGCTCGAAACCGTTATTTTACTACCGTCCACCCAAGTACTGCTACTTCTTGAGCTGCCGGGGTAATTGGAGTAAATGTAGGCTCCAGGCTCCTCTGTGAACTTGATAGCAGGCCTCCTTAGCTGCTCTCCTGTCTGACCAAATGCAGCCCTCCCTGAGCATCCTTAGTTTCCAAGCACTGCAAAGACCGCCAGAAAATACTGGTTTTGTTTATGTCTAATCTTACCACATTTACTCTGAAGATGAATTATAAATTTGGGAAAGGAAACTCTCTAGGCACCGTCTTGTACCTTAGTGCATTTATTCACCAAATTTTGAGGGTTTGGAAACAATAATATCTCAGTGCTGATTAGGGAATTATTTGCTCTTCTTATAGTATCAACCACTGATGTATCAAAATCCCAAGAAGCGCAGATGTATGTGGTTCTGGTAAACCATCCTTTATGATTCGTTAAAAAGCCTTCTTATTTGGGAATAAGTTTAAACATGCAAAAAAGTTGCAAGACTGAGAATCATATAGGAACTCGACTGCCTAGATTCACATATTATTTGCATTTATTCCACTCGGGGTGTGTGTAGATGTCTGTGTGTATACATTTTTTTTTTTTTTTTTTTTTTTGCTGAACCTTTTGAGAATAACTTCTACCTACAAAATCACCCTTAACACCTAAATAGCAGGGATCTTCTCTGCCTTGACCATGGTACAATATTCAACTTCAGTAAATTTAACATGGATACTTAAATTCATCTAATCTACATTCATATTCCAATCCTGTCAATTGACCCATTAATGTCCTTTGTAGCATTTGCTTTCTGAGTTAAGTGACAAAGAATGATTAAAGTGTAAGATGAAAGAAAGCCTCTTCAGATCGGGTATTTCAGCACCTATTGATGTAAATCGGAAAGAGCCAACTAGACGGAGGGAATTAACTGGTCTGGTGGACAGAGCTTTGGAGGTGGAGGCAGGGCCTGCCTGGCAGCCCAGGTCCCGCAGATGTGACTGAATGGGCCCCCACGTCGGCCGCTCATCCCCCCTCTGTGAATTTAATGAGAGTGGTACAACCTCTCATCTGTTGTGATGAAGGTTGTTACGAACGACTCAGGGAGGATACTGGGCTCAGAAGGAAAAGGTCGTAAAAATAGAATAGTATTTTCTTATTCCTCTACTATTTGTGTCTAATGTGTTTTAACGTGATAGGCCTGAAAGCCAAACTGAGGAAGATTTAGAAAGAGCCTGTAAGCTGTTTTCCTGCTAACCGAGCAAATGAGAGGTCTTAAAACAACTTCTCCTTCCCATCTGTGCCTTCTTTCCATCTGGAAGTGTGCCCTGTTCCTCCCGAGGGGAAGCAGATCCAGAGCGTTCATTTTCAGCGAGCCATTAGCGAGCTTTAGAAGTTTCCCATCAAATTCCCTAGGCCCCTGAAACCGTTATGAGCCATTTTGATGATGAACCAAAGCAAGAAGAGACTGTACTGTTTGCAGTTTTTTTTTTTAAGAGAGTTCCAAGTTTTTGAGGGTTGCCAGGAGATTTTTTTCGCAGCTCTCATTTTAAAAATATTTTCATTTCCTTCTATTTCTTTCTTCCCACCTCCTTCTAATCCTCCTTTCTTGCCATTCCCGCAGTGCTTTGCAGACCACATAGTGAAAGAGCTGGACCACTTTCCACTTGAGAAGAGAAGTGAGGTGGTCATTCTGTTTTCTGCTCACTCGCTGCCGATGTCTGTAAGTAAGCATTTTGTCGGATGACCTAGTGGTAGAGGATTTCTGAATGTGCCAATGGGAACCAGCTTCTAGAGTGCCCAGAGCCCAGTGCAAGGACAAGGTCTAACATCTCCGACTTATGTATGTGCTAATTTAACTAGACTCATTTCTTGAAACCTAATAAGAGTTCAAATAATAATATTGTGAATAAATATTGTCTTAATAAACCCCTTTAAAATAACTTGAAGGTGTGTTCACATACAGGAGTTTTCAGGAAGTGGGACAGGGAAAGGAAGGCTGCCTTTGGCTGCCCCGTTGAAGGAGCTCACCTGCTGTTCCGGTCCACGCCTGGCACTGAAGGGCCTCCTATCGCACCAGGCCACCTCCTGTCCCACTCCTTGTCAAGACCCAACAGGGGCTGTTTGAATTCCAGGAAATGATTACAGTGTTTAATTTCCTAGGCTTTGAGCCCACATTTTAATTTAGCAAGGGGCTGTGGAGTGTGACCTGGGTGCTCCTGCGTTCTTCCCGTGACACTGGGTGTTCACTAAAATACCACCTCTGAGCCGTAGCTTGCTGCACATTTGCCAACGAGAATGATCGGGCTGTGCGGTACATGAGGTGCTTGGAGTCAGCAGCCAGGTTCAGCAGCTCAGAACTATCCCTGGGCCTAAAAACTTTGCTTTCAAAGCCAGAGAGGTGGAGAATTACACCTTCGGAGGTGTCAGGAAGGGTTTGATTCCAGAATTAATGGAGTTAACCTGCATGGCTGGGGCCACTCTCCTCCTCCTCCTCCTCCTCCTCCTCCTCCTCCTCCTCCTCCTCCTCCTCCTCCTCCTCCTCCTCCTCCTCCTCGGTCTTTACTGCCACCTGCTGGTCACCGGGGTTGAGCCCTTACAGCTTCTCTGCTCAGCCACCGCCACCCAGCAGGTGCTGCGTCAGCCGTCAGCCTTAGGCGGTAGGCAGCCCTGGAGACCAGTCTCTCTCTGCTGGAAGCCTGCCGAGTTTATTTTAACAAGTTCGTATTCTCCCTTGTGGGATCGTGCACATCCTCTTCACATGTCCATCCTGCTGCTCCGCCCGCATCCTTTTCATAGCTGTCCTAGGTGTGATGAGGCCGTGTCTGAAGTGCCAGAAGGGAAGCTCTTGAACTGGGAGCCGAGGAAACACATTTTTGCGCATGAACGATTCCAGGTGCTGCCTTCCCTTCCCTCCCCACCGCCGCACTTCCTTTCTTCCCCGCAGGGACCCAGCATGCCACTACCAGGTTTCTTTGCCGTGCAGGGGCCATGCGGGGCCGCAGGGGCCATGCGGGGCCGAGAAGGGCCGGGAAGACAGCGGGACAGTCAGGGAAGACAACTGTTCTTTTTTTCTTTTTCTTTTTTTAGTAATAAATTTATTTTTTATTGGTGTTCAATTTGCCAACATGCAGAATAACACCCAGTGCTCATCCCGTCAAGTGCCCCGCTCAGTGCCCGTCACCCATTCACCGCCCCCCCCCCACCCTTCTCGCCTTCCACCACCCCTAGTTCATTTCTTAGAGTTAGGAGTCTTCATGTTCTGTCTCCATTTCTGATATTTCTTACCCATTTCTTCTCCCTTCCCTTCTATTCCCTTTCACTATTATTTACATTCCCCAAATGAATGAGACCATATAATGTTTGTCCTTCTCCGATGGAGCTGGATGGTATTATGCTGAGTGAAATAAGTCAATAGGAGAAGGGAAGACAACTGTTATAACAGGCTTTTCTTTCCCCTGCACTTGCTTCTAGTGACTTTTTCCTCCTTAGTAACTTTTTTTTGTTTTTTAAGATTTTATTTATTCATGAGAGACACACAGAGAGAGGCACAGACACAGGCAGAGGGAGAAGCAGGCTCCCTGCAGGGAGCTGGATGTGGGACTTGATCCTGGGACCCCAGGATCACGCCCTGAGCCGAAGGCAGACACTCAACCACTGAGCCACCCAGGTGCCCCTTAGTGACTTTTTAAAGATTTATTATTTGGAAGTAATTTTAGACTTTAGGCAAAGTTGTAAAAATAGCACAGAGAGTTTATAATATATATATATTATATATATATATATGCTCTTCCCTTAGCTTCTCCACGCTGAACTCTCTGTAACCGTAGTACAGTGACCCAGAGCAGGAGGCTAACAGCAGTGCAGTGATGTCAGCCTAAGGCCAGGCTTTATTAGATTTCACCACTTCTTCCACAATTTTCCTTTTTTGTCTGGGATCCAGTCCAGTGTCCCATGTATCTTCTCAGTCTCCCTCAATCTGTAATGGTTCTCATGCTTTCCTTGTTGTCAGTGACCTTGAGGTTTTTGAAGAGTGATTTAGTGGACTGTCTGCTATTTTGTAGCAGGCTCCTCCATGGAAATTTGTCGGTTATTTTGCCACGATTAGGGTGAGGTTATGTAGTACTTGGGAGGCACAGCCCAGGGTGATCCGTCCATCTCAGTGCATGATATTGGGGTGCATGATGACAACATGTTCTCTGCTGGGGATGTGATCCTTGGTCATTTGTCTAAGGTGGTATCTGCTGGATTTGTATATTGTAAAGTTACCATTTTTCTCTTCGTAATTTAAAATATCTTAGGTGATGGACGCCTGGGTGGCTCAGTGGTTGAGCGCCTGCCTTTGGTTCAGGTCGTGATCCCTGGAATCTTGGGATCGAGTCCCATGTTGGGCTCCCCATGGGGAGCCTGCTTCTCTCTCTGCCTGTGTCTCTACCTTTGTCTCTGTGTCTCTCATGAATAAATAAATAAAATCTTTAAAAAAATAAAATATCTTAGGTGAGATACTTTGAGACTATGCAAATGTCTTGTTCCTAGATTTGTGCCTACTAATTTTAGTATATACGCCTTCAGTATATCTCACTGGTAGAAATTATTTCTGTGTGGTTCTAATGGCGACTTTATATTTCCCTCATTCATTCTATATTTAGGTTTCTAATGGTTTTTTAAACTAACTTTTAGTAATATTATAAAATAGTTTATCAATATTTCACTTCAACAATAATTATTGAGCACTGTTGTATCTACTATATTCTAAGCACTGTTCCCTCCTCTGTCATATGGGAATGAACAACATAGACAGAAGTCTTTGCCCCAGAGAGTGGGGGTGGGAAACAGATAATGAACACACTACAGGAGAAGATAGTATGGTGTGTTAGGAGGCCACAAGTGGTATGAGAAGCAATAAAGCAGTGTGAGAAGTTGGGGAGTCAGTACACAGCTAAATGTTAAAGCAGTGAAAATAAAATTTCTGTTCAACATTTTTACGAGTATCAACAAGCTGTTGGGTCAGGACCAGTCATCAGACATTCACTGTGCACAGAGCACTCACCTTGTAGTCCGTTGCTGTGGGGCCCGTGGGGGGAGGACAGGGATCAGGAGTCACAGGTGGTATTCTCGAGGAGCCTCAAGTCTGAACCCACGTGCTGCTTCTCCCCTGCATCTTACTCCACCAGCATTTGCCCCTGTGTTGAGCTGGCTCCATGGACTCCACAGGTCCATGCGCCATCCATACAATACTCCCAATTCCTGCCTTCCCTATTTCAGGTGGGGGAACCGAGAGACCCCTCCTCCCTCATTAGATATTGTCAATCTCCCATGAATAACATAGACGTAGAATTTGACATATTCATAGGTACTTAGAGGTGAGTGAGTGCGTTGTTCTCCTTTGGCCTGTGAGGAAACAGATCCAAGCAAGTTAGGTGATTGAGCTCAGATTGTATCATCATTAGTGTAGAAGACAGAAGGGGGGACTCCAGTCCCCGGCTCACGCCACCTCACTGCGCAGTCTGAGGCTCTCGGAACCCTTGGCAGTGTTGGTGACTGAACACCTGTGTGTCTCTGCTGCAGGTGGTCAACAGAGGGGACCCCTATCCTCAGGAGGTGGGCGCCACTGTGCAGAGAGTCATGGATAAGCTGGGTTACTCGAACCCTTACCGGCTGGTTTGGCAGTCTAAGGTAGGTGGCTTCTGCTCGTTTGCCAGCAGTCAGCAATTCTGAGCATGTCTATTTTAGGACTTTGTTATAAGATGATAGATTTGGCTCTTTCATATACGCAGAATGTTCTATAACCTGGTGACTCACCATGAGCAGAAAGAACTCTGCAAGCAGGTAAAATGGAGGGGAAGTCAAGTGACTAGTTGAATGTCATTGACTCAATGTATTATTTTTAGTTGTAATGACAGAAATGATCTTTTCTTTATATTATGCCAACTTCTAGAAGGATTCAAGCTTAATATAGAAATACCAAAGCCCAGGAGAGCAGATGTAAAGCGTGGTCCTCCCTCCCACCGGGAGGCATGTGTGTGTCCAGGGCAGTGGGCTGTGGTGTGCCGGAGGCTCAGGGGGAGAAGTGGGTCCCCGTGTGCATTCCATCCTGCTTTCCCACAGGTTGGTCCGATGCCCTGGCTGGGGCCTCAGACAGACGAGACTATCAAAGGGCTTTGTGAGAGAGGGAGGAAGAACATCCTTTTGGTTCCAATAGCATTTACCAGCGATCACATTGAAACCCTGTATGAACTGGACATCGAGTACTCTCAAGTTCTAGCTAACGAGGTGAGTGTGATTATTAGTCCCGCTAATAAACTGTGATTTGTTTTGAGAGGAAACTTGCTCTGCAAGGATGTAATTGTATCATTCAAAAACACCGTTCAGTGGTTAGCAGAGGGGAGGTGGGTGGGGGATGAGTGAAGCAGGTAGAGAGGATTAAGGGTATGACCTGTCTTGATGAGCCCTGAATAATAGGCAGAATTGTGGGGTCACTATATTGTACATCTGAAACTAATATAACACAGTATGTTAATGATACTGGAATTAAAAAATATTTTGAAAGGATTAAAAAACAATATATCGTTCGATATATATGTTTGCATGTAACATGGCCTCATTGTTCTGAATAATACTTAACCTGAGTTAATCCGAGCACATCAGGTTAATTCCATGTCAGCAGGAAGCACTTTTGTGCCTTTGTGAAACCAGATGCCCAGGCATCACCTCGAGCAACATCATTTTGTCTAGTTTGAGTTCCTGTACTACATGGAAGTGATAAAAAAAAAAAAAAGCAACAAAAAAACCCTGTGGTTTCTTAAGAAAAAATAATTGTACTTTCCACCAATTTGGAGGAAAAGAACTGTATTGTGCTATCATTCCTTTTCTTGGCCCAATAGTGCCCTTTATTTGGGGCTTTTACACAGTTTCTTGCTGGCTTTTGAGGCGTAGAAGAGTCATTGTCATGAAAGAGAAGACCGTAGAATCAACACTGAAGCAGTGTGTGTTGTAATTCCCTTGACCTGCTTCATACACTCACTCAATTAGCTGCGGTGTTGTGATCAATCTGATTAGTGAAATAGCAAATACCATCCTTAGTGTCTTGTAATGTAAGATGTGAATTATCATTCACAGTGGAGAAAAACTTACTGTTCACCCTTCTTATGGCTTCGGAGGGCCGGCCTGAAACCCGAATCCAGTGTATAGCATTGTTACCCTGGGAATCTTGGGACCCAAGAGCCCGTCTACCCCCATCCTCTGCCAGAACTCCCGATCCTGGTCACTCTCATGCGTGATTGATGGAGGCCTGGCCTCAAAGGATGCTTCACCCTGTCCGGGACTGGGTGGCAGGTGCAGGGCAGGGTGAGAGTGGGTCGGGGAGAGCTTTAGCCAGCACCCAAGCCCACAGGTTTTTGTTTATGCAAGCTGGTCATCAATCAAATGGTGAGGAAGTTAGAGGGTGCCTAAATTACTTGTCAGTAATTCTGATACAGAATTTATGGCACAGTTGTGATCGGCTAAAGTGAGGTTGCAGGGTTGTCCGTGGATTTCATGTAATGGTGCCTTCCAAAGCCTACCCTGACTCTGGCTGCGCATGAGCTTCCTAAAAAAACTTCACGTGCAGATATAGTTCATACCAGTATGTTTGGAAAATAAGGTTTTGTTTGTATTGAACAATAATTCACACTCATTAATATCACTAAACTGAGTTTATTCCTTAGTAATCAAATGGGTTAATGGTGACTAATTAGTCCACAGAGAGAATAAAGAAAACTACATAGCTACAGTTTACTTCATTGTTTCGATGGGAGAATATGTTTAAAACAACTTTCTTTAAAAAGTAGTTTGAATTTTTTCCCAAGATGCAGTTACTGCTTTTCGAAAATAAAAATACTAAAGAGCTCAGACAATTCAGAGAAGTATCACATAGAGAGTAGAGCTCACTTGGAATCTTAGCCCTGAGAGGGGCCGGGGTGGCTCAGTTGGTTGCATGTCTGACTCTCGATTTCGGCTCAGGTCCTGATGTCAGGGTCATGAGATCGAGCCCGGTGTCTGGCTGTGTGCTGGGCATGGAGCCTGCTTAGGATTCTCTCTTCTTCGCTCTCTGCTCCTCCCCTGCCTCCCACTCTCTCTGTCTTTCAAAAAAAAGAATCTTACCCCTGAGAGATAGTTAATATTTTGATAAAAATAAGTCCCCTTTTTTCTCTAAATGTATGTGTGTACCTTAATAAAAATGGCATTCTTCTACATGTTTAACAAAAATGGCATTTTATTCATATTATTTTATAACCTGTTCTCCCTTAAAAATATCTTACGGCTCTAAATCAATAAATGTAATTAGATGTACATAATTATTTTTCACGAATCCTTGATCAGTATATGTTTAAGCTGTCTCCAACTTTTTACTTTCCTGAACTGCTTTGTAATAAGCATCATCTTCTTTTCCTTTTTCCAGTTGTTTTCTTAGGGAAAATTCCTAGAAATGGAATTTAAATATTGGTAGAGATTTTACTGGATTGCCCTACAGAGTTGTATCCTTTAACTCTCCCGCCTGCCATGTTCAGGAACGTTGCCAGCATTGCTTGTCCTGCTGTCACTGACTTCTACCTGGAGTTTTAGAATACAGTTTTTTTTTTCTTTTGTTTTAAAGATTTGTTTATTTATTTATTTGAGAGTCAGTGTGCAGGGGGGTGGGGGCGGAGGCAGAAGGAGAGAGAATTAAAATTTTTTTTAATTTAAATTCAATTTGCCAACATACAGTATAACACCCAGTGCTCATCCCGTCAAGAAGGAGAGAGAATCTTAAGCAGATTCCACAGTCAGCGTGGAGCCTCACACGGGGCTCGGTCTCACAACCCTGAGATCATGACCTGAGCTGATATCAGGAGTCGGTCGCTTAACCAAGTGAGCCACCCAGGCACCCCGCATACAGTTTCTTTTTAGGTTGAGAACTCTGTGTTTGCTGAATCTCCCCATTTTCCCCATGCCAGTTAAAGCTAACTTAAAAGATGAATCTAAAAGCCACAGCATTTCAGAAAGGGAAAGAGAAGATCTTAACTATCTGAGTGAACAATAATTAGGTGCTCCTTAATTATTTGGGGAATAATCAACTGCGTATTAGCAAAGGTGATAGTAAAACAGTCCTCAGGCTTTATTTTGGATTTTTCTACGTACAAATATATTTAAAAACCCCACTCTGCATTGGATCCCATCTAGGTTCAATATACTTGAAATGAATCTACCTCTTTTTGGCAGTTGGAATCAAAACAGGCATAAAGATTTATTTAATTAAGGCAACATTGTGCTTAGGTAGAGTCTGTAAAAGTGTGCATTAGAAAGGTGGAATTAAAAAAAGAATCATAAGCAGATTTGAATTACTTGAGAGTTCTGTCAAATACAGCCTCAAAAATGACTTGGAAACTGAAAACCTATGGGAAGATAACAGGGTGGGGGGAAGGAAGAAAAATTGAGAGCAATTTTATGATAACGGAGGTGAAAATCTACATCTGTGTCTGAGCCCGGGACAGTTTTCATTTCTGAGTCATCTGGGAACACTTTGGAAATCAGACTTTAAGCTGGGTATGTATCTAAATTCATTTATTTATTTTGTCATAGCAGTTTCTTTAAAAAAAAAAAAGGAAACTAAAACATGGATGTGTTTTTCCTTCTTTTTTCTCATCTGATTCAGTGTGGAGTTGAAAACATCAGAAGAGCAGAGTCTCTTAATGGAAATCCATTGTTCTCCAAGGTATCTATAGTGTTACAACCACTTTAGTAGAACATATCGGAGAGAAATCCTCTGAGAAACTCTTACAGAATATTGGTTTTCTCACATATTAGAACATTTTGAGTTCCAATTAATTACAAAAATAAAATCGAATTCCTTATACTCTTGCTCCTTTTTCCTTTAGATAGCCCCAATTTTCTGATTCCTCCCACCTCTGACTATGTCTAATTTAAGGCCTGCCTTTCCAGGGCAAGCCTTAGCAGGTGGGGTAAGAGGATGTTCTTCTCTAAAATGTCTATTTTAACTTTCCTCTAAGCTGGGGATCCTGAGCAAATGAAGATATTAGAGACTCCAGTTCAAAGCAATCATAATTCAGATGAAAAGCTGCCCTCTGCCACCGTGGTTATTGGGGCCGATGGGAGGGGGAGACGCATGGGGAGACCGCAGACGTTTTGCTTCTGAGGAATCTCCGCTTCTTGTCGCCCGTCTTCCAGGCCCTGGCCGATCTGGTGCTCTCACACATCCAGTCAAACGAGCTGTGCTCCAAGCAGTTGACTCTGAGCTGTCCGCTCTGTGTAAATCCTGTCTGCAGGGAGACTAAATCCTTCTTCACCAGCCAGCAGCTGTGACCCCCGCCGGAGGACCCCGCGGGATTAGGCAAATGCCCAACCCCCAGATGCCCCTGTTGTGGAGGAGCTGTATTTAGGGGCCAAGGAAGACAGTTACATCGGGATCTGCACAGCCTTTGGGCACAAATTGTGTGATTTCTTGAGGAACAGACTCTGAAATCCTTACTAGGGTTTTCTGTTTTTCTATACCAATGCAGTAAGCATTTGTATGCCCCCTCTGTGTGTAAAGGTACCAGTTGGGAATGTCCACTGGGTTATTTAAAAAAGGAGTTTTAAAAATTTCTCTTAATAGATGCACCCATATTATAAATAGAGATTTTGGTTTTATTGCCCAAAAAACCTGCCAGGGTATAGAGAGTCCCCTCTATGGGCTGTCAGTGTGAATGTGATCTGTTTACAATCTTGTGCATAGGGCTGTCCTTGTTTTTGAAGGGAACATAGTTAAGTAAAGGAAATATAATTTGAAAGGGAACTGTTACCCGACCTTTCCCTTGGCCCACGGGTTCCAGAATGCCAGTGAGGTGGTGTGGTTGCCTGTAGTGGCTGCTTTTGCCAGTGATGTCACCGTTAGTTGGCCATTTGGGTACTCACATGTGAGCCTCACTTTCTTCACCCTAAAACCAATCAGGTGCAGACTCCAAAAGTGGTCTGAGAGTCCCCAGGCACACAAGGCTCATAAACATGTAGAAACCCAGCATTTGCCATCCATGCCTTGGTGAGGATCTTGGGGCCCACTGCTTCCTGTCTGCAAGGCCAGTGATCCCATGTGCTGACATTGGGCTTCATCTTTAAAGCTCATCCCAGGACCCGAGTGAACCTTGCCATGGAGCATCTTCTTTAATTTGGTTGAATGTCTTCTTTCTGCCTATTTGTGTGAAGCCTTATTTTTATAAAGTCAGCTATGTTTTGTAATCTTGAATTCTTTCTTATAGTTTTTATCATAAAATTATATAACCCTCCTATTGAAGTCTGAAAAATAGAGAAAAGAGAAATAACCACCAATGCAACAGCTACTAATCATATTATTGTATCTCATGGCAGTCTTTTCCTGTGGATATTTTTAATGCCATTGTAACCTTGAATTTGTGAGTGAAGTGTTGCTCTAAAAATGTAGAAATAATGTGAGATCAGAATCTGATCTCCTATACTTGGATTTAAATGGATTAAAAAAATCTCTGATGGATCCGTAATGAATTTGTAATGATTACCTTCTCTTTCCTCTAGGCTCTAAAACTTTGTTCTTCAAAAGAGCGTGTCTTTGATGTTCGTAAAGCCAGTTCATAAAGTGGAAGTATTAGAGGAGTCATAGATCTCCTATATTTGGGATTTACTATATTAATAAATATTATCACATCGTTAAGATTTTAACCATTTGATTCATGCTCTCTGTGAAGTGAAAACTAATGCAAGTCTATTAATAATCAAAATTATTAAATAGGGGGAATTTACTTTGGAATGCAAGAAAAGAAACAGGCCATCCGTTTTAGTTAATAATTTTCCCACGCTGATAACAGCTCTGAAATTTGAGTAAGGTGTGCATTTTTTTCCAAATTGGTCTTCCTATTCGTAGATTGTGTTTTCGGAGAGAAGTACAAGGCATAGGTAGTGGGCTGTTTCCATCAGCTTTGCGGGGATTAGATTTAAGCAGTAGATTGAGTGACTGTCCCACAGTGAAGTGAATGCTCTGGGTTAGTGGGATGGCCCCGGAGGGCAGCATGTGCTTGCAGCCGTTCTCCATGTGTCCTCATGTCTGCTGCCACTGCTTCACGGTACAACACATGTTATGATGCAGATGTTACAGAAAACTCCAAGAGCTCTTGCTAGGATATCTGAAACCCCTCGTTTGCTAAGGAAGCTTCTGACTCAACAGTGAGTGGGCTGTCTGGAATAAATCTGTGATTCTGAGGACCAGAGTGGCCCTTGTAGTGAGAGGCAAAGGGGGTGGCACTGGGATCCCCGCTCATGGCATGTGTTGTTTTGGGGAGGGTCACCTGTGGCTTATTAACCAAAGATGGGTAAGGATCACACTCGAGGGCTCGAGGGGGGCAGGTGGTAGGAGACTGGTGATGCTACTTGTCCACTTTGAAATCCAAGCGTTTGCCCTGGTGATTAGCCAGTGTGCCGCTGGCAGTGCCTTCAAGCTGCGCCTACCGACACCCTGGCTTTAACTGAGGAATCAACCTAGAGAGGAGACTGGCCGGCATGTGACAAGGAGGCAGTGCAGTCTGCCAGGGGTCCTTAGAAGCCCAGCTCCCTGCAGGTATAGCCCAGGAGGAAGGAATGCTCCTCAGGAATCTGCATTCTTGAACGACTTAGCTTTTTTTTTAAGATTTTATTTATTCACGAGTGGCACAGAGAGAGAGGCAGAGACACAGGCAGAAGGAGAAGCAGGCTCCATGCAGGGAGCCCAACGCAGGACTCGATCCCAGGACCTTGGGATCACGACCTGAGCAGAAGGCAGACGCTCAACCACTGAGCCGCCCAGGCGTCCCACGACTTACCTTTTTTAAAGCTAACAGAAATGTTTGCACTCAAGACTTTTTCTGCTTCAGGAGACATGGAACTCCTTGTTAAAAGCCCTTCACATGTCCATCAGTCACTTTTTGGTGCTGACCCACGGTGAGCCCTCCTGATGTCCGCTGGTACCCCAGAGTATACATCCTTGCTCAGGAGGCCCATGAAGAGAATGTTACATTTCTCTAGGATTCCGTTAAGTTTTTCTTTATGACTGAAATCCTATAGACAATGATGACTATGTAGATAGGAAGAGAAAGTGGATTTCCTGCTCCAAGTTGCCCAAATTAAGCCTGTCAGAAGGTGCATTCTCTCCACAACCCTATAGTCATATTAGGTAATTTACAGATTCAAGCTGATCTTGAAAATAGATGGTTTTCCTTTTAATTTCTCTTTGAGAAAAATACTCTGATTTGGTAGGATGAGTTTCTTAGAGTTGTTGCATTTTTCACCCCTTGGTTCATCTGTTCTCATCAATTGGGTATTTAATCCAAGAAACTCTAAGGTGTGTAAGAGAGGCCATATGCTCCATCAGATGCCACCGTGTTTATCCAAAATACGTTATTAAACCATGAGGGTGAGCCACACCACCGAGGAGGGGCAGCGGTAAGACCTGCTCCTGTCCCAGAATATAGGGAACCGCATGGGTCTACAGTCCTAGAACTCCGCTGTGCTCATTCCTCCGTTCTGGGGGTGGGAGGGCCTGGGGGGAAGGGGCCAGCTTGCATGGCTGTAGCTGGCGGGCAGCAATGAAAGCTGGCGGCCGTAGCAAGAACGCACGTCGGTGTGCGCAGGCGTGGGCGCAGGTGCATTACGCCAGGGGCCTCGGGACACATGTTGAGTACCTTGTCTTTAGGCTCTTAGCCTAGCCGGAGAAACCCCTTCAAGGTCAGGATCCTGAAGATGGCAAAGGAACAAGCTTCCCAACACTAGGTGGAAATGGGAAATTGGTTGAGCTGTCACAAGCTGGAAAAGAAAATTCTGAACGGCTGCTAAAACTAGGGCCCCGAATTATAAAACCATTCAGATTCTCAGTCTCAGTAGCAATATGGGGACTCCTCAGAGGAAAACAAGAGCTGACCATTCCTTTGCTTATTTCTAAAAATTATAAAATTAAAAACACGTCAGGGTCATGCCCCAGAAAAACTTTGTAAATATTCTCAGAAGTTTTGTCCTAATTGCCTAATAATTGAGATTCCTTTGTAACAAGCCCCTTCCGCAGCGTCCCAGTCCAGGTGGCTTTTTGCGCCACGCTTCATTTTATAGAAACTAGTGTCATAAGGTTTCAGAGCGCATACATCAAATGGGTTGAATCTGAATCAAGAAACCTGCATTATGCTTGAATCGCTGCCAATTAAAATATTTAATCATGTCGTAATATATTTAACCAAAATGGGTAAGGGTCACACTCGAGGGGAGCACGTTAAAATATTCAATCATGATGAGTTCCTGGTTAATTCGAATAGTGGCACCTGAAAATTTTTGATTGTTTTGTTTTGTTGCTAGATTTTTTCCAGCTGGACAGCTGTGTGGTATGACCGTTGTCCGATCTTTGCCTTAAAAGTTGTGCCTCTTTTCAGAATCCCCCTTACTTTGGAAAGGATAAAGCGTGCCGACCTATAGGCACCCACCTGAGTCGTGGGGACAGGTGGGTGCTTGAAAAAAAATAAGGTGATATCGTGAGTATTTGCTGCTTGGCCCTAATATGACCAGCAGTAGTGGGCCGTGCGGTGCTCCCTGCGTGACAAGAGTCTTCAGAGAGGCCTGGGTTGGGGGGTAGGTGCCCTCTGGGGAACACAGTTGTAACCTAGGGTCCCCAGGGAGGAAGAAAGCCTTTTGCTTTTGCTGTGGGAATCTTATTAAGCCTCTCTACCCGGGGAAGGATGTGGAAAACAAATGTAGCCGGTGATAATCCATTTCTTAGGACACACTTTGATGGTACTGGCTTAGTTGTTTTTAGCTGAAATCATTAGCTTCCATTTTTAGTATAACAAACTACCGGCTAAATTAGTCTACAGTAAGCCATTAAGATGGATGTCGGAATTAAAAACATTTTTGGAAAAAAGCCTGGTTGGAGCCTTTGTTCTAAGCCCTTGGGCAGGAATCAGGTCCTGTTTCTGGTTGCCGGACAGCTGTCACTCCGACGTGCCTGGTGCACACTCCGCCTGCCGCTCCCGGTGCGGGAACACACGGGTCAGCCTTTCTCCTTGTGGTCCCCCCTGTGGGTCGAAGCTTGCCTGGCAGGTTAAGAAGCAATAGATTTTGGGGCACCTGGATGAGTCAGTGGTTGAGCATCTGCCTTCGGCTCAGGGCGTGATCCCAGGGTCCTGGAATCAAGTCCTGCATCGGGCTTCCTGCATGGAGCCTGCTTCTCCCTTTGCCTGGGTCTCTGCCTCTCTCTGTGTCTCTCATGAATAAGTAAATAAAATCTTAAAAAAAAAAAAAAAAAGCAATAGATTTTACCCTGAGAATTTGTGAAGTTGTCTGTATTTTTACCTTTCTGTGGTAGATAGTGTAGATAGTGTATATACAGTATATAGTGTACAAAGTATAAAGTGTATATACACACACAGAATTGACTGCACAAGCATATAAGCAGGGGTGTGCAGGCCGATTGTTAAAATGTCAGGTTGTTAAACAGCAGTTGTTAAAAATTCTAGATCTTAAATCATATTATTTTTTTTCTTAAATCATATTAAAAACAAAAGTAACAAATATTCAAAATTAATCACTTCTCAATTCTTTTGCCACATTTTATTATGTTTGTGGTCGCGATCATTTACGTTTATCGTGCCCATATCGTGGAAATGCTGTATAGGATGAGTTACTGCACCTCTCTGTCCAAGCTGGTTCACTGACGTCATGGTACGCTTACAATTGGCTGTGATGGGGCTGTTTCCACTGTGGAAGTCAGCAAACACTATAAATTAGGACTTGACTGTGAAATCAGCAAATACTATAAATTAGGTCTTGACTGTTTTGCTGATTATTTTCTAGACCTGAGAAAGTGATGAAAAAATATTAGTAATGCGGATGAAAAGTCACAGTGTGAATAGCCCCAAAACTTGAAATACCCTTCCACTGTTTAGAAACTGTTATCCGACTTACCTAAGTGAGGTTTTGACATACACAGAAGTTGTTTGACATGTGTCACGCATTAACAAAAAAGTCGACACTCATGTCAGAACTCTACCTGTGGACCCATTGCCTCCAGGGGCTGGCTGCAGAGGCAGGAGCTTGGTAAAAATCAACAAAACGCTTTCTTGAGCAACTGGTGCGATGGACCCTGCAGTGAACAGTGGCTGGTGGTCTATCACTACCTGTTCGAAGCGTGTCTGACGTGCGGCGCACTGCTAACGTTGACAGTGAACGTACGCTCACACGCAGACGTGTAGGTGATTGTTCCACAGGCCTGCTTGGCGACCGTTTACCGAAACACTAGTGCCCGGAAAGGAACTTTTTGGGGGCGATGGGAATGACCCCTGTGGACTGCATACTTGTGCTCAGACACACGGCCCCTAGACGGTCCCCTCCGTCGCAGTCTGTTCTGAGTGGAGGCTGCCCCATGGTGAGTAGGAATTTTAACCTTTGTCGTAGGCTTTCTAGTGGTGTCCAACAAAATTCCCCGAGCCCACCAGCATCCCTGGGAAGTGGACGCGTGGCTCTCCCAGGCAGTTGCAGTCGGGGGCGGGAGGGGTCTCAAGAGGAGGGCTTGGCTCCACGGCTCCCCTCCCCGGCCACCAAGAGCTGTCACCAGTGAGGGCCACGCACAGCACTTGGGACTTGTTCAGGGAACGTGACCTGCTCTGTCTTAAGATCGGCAGTGGCGATGGGCGCCCCGGTGGCTCAGTGGT